GGGTTGCGATCCGTTGCCGGTCACGAAAAAAGACAAAAAGGAAAAAAAAAAAAAAAGCCCACGGAAAGCCAAGGAAATACAGAATCGAGGCAGCACAAAAGTCTTCCGAGCCGAGGTGGAAGTGCCTCTGGTTCCTCCAGCAATTCCCACTGGTGTTATCATGACTCAACAATCTGTTGCGATCATTTGTGGAAAGGGGCGGAGTGACAGCTGGAATGGAAAGAAGTGTGCACAACCCAGAGCTATCTCAGCTTTCCCAAAGCTCAAGTGTCCCCATGGGAGTGTCTTGGAACATATGTTCTGTTGAGAAAAAAGGCTGCAAATCAAGGGGTTATTGCAATAAACACCACCTGTGATAAATAAGATTTGTAAGTTTAAATTTATCTTTTAAAAATGTTTGTCTTCCTCATCAGATAATCAACTCTAAGAGGGCAGAGACTATGTTAACTCTGTACCACCAGCCCATGGCACACAGTAGGTGCTCAATAAACATATGTCAGAAGGATGGATGGAAGGATGAATTCTACTTAGCTCAAGTGTGAGTAGGAACATTCTCTGCTAGTGGGAATAGAGAGAGAGAGAGAGAAAATATAAAATAAACTACATAGATGCACATAATTTTCAGTGTTTGAAAAGTGGGATTGAGTTAGGATTAATAAATAAAGATAATTTCACCTCTTTCTATTCCCAAACTACATTTTTCTATCACTTTGAAACCCCAAAGTAAATACTGTTCCAATGTTTGCTTTGCTGGTAGAAAACACTGCAATAAAAATGCTAAGTTGCCGTGGCATCATCAGGAGAAAGGATGTCACCCCCAGGCCCAGAACTTGAAGGTGACAGGGCACCCACAGGCACCATCGCTCCAAATGGGCCAGCCTTCCAGCTCCACCACCGCTCACTTCTTCCAGCTTGAAAGGGGAGTGCGAGTTCAGCTGTTGGGTGTAAGTGGAGGAACCGTGAGCAACAAGAAGCTTGCAGAAGACAATACAAGGCAATAGTATTTTACTGGCCACGATGTAACTGGATTTCACTCTCTGTTCTGACATTAGGAAGAATTTTACGCCTGGCAAAAGTCAAAAATGTTTTCTTTCGACACCTTACTCAGAGAATAAGCTGACTATAACCCAGTAGCACTTGTCCATATTTCCAGACTCAGTTAATGCTATTCTGAGGCGAACATCTGTCCATGCAGTTTGTCCTTCCATCCAGTCTCTAGTCTTTGGAGTCCAGGGCCTGGATCAGTCTCACACCCAGTGCTATTTGCCTCATTGCCCAGTGTCAGGAAGCAAATAGTATCACACTGGTGCGATAAGACATACCCCTTGTCCATGGTCTCAGGGACGGGGTCAGGTTCAGTTGACCTGAGCACTCCCATTAAACATGCTCCAGTGTTCCCACCCACCCCACCCACATGAGATGGCTCCTGAGCCCTGAGGTCTGCATTCCAAGAACCTCGGTTGAGAAATCTCTATGGCAGCTTCACTGTTGCTCAAGAGCCTGGGTATTGTAGCAGCCTGGGGGCAGGTTGTCCCTAATGTTCTCCAGGTTCTTCACATCAGCCAGAATGCCATCTATGCTCGTCTCCAGAAAATGGAGGTGGCCCCTCTGCCAACGTGCCCTCTCTTCCAGCTCTGACATCAAGGGCCGCAGCTGGCTGTTGATCTGCGTCTTGGCTCGGGAAAGCTTCTGTTCCAACGAGATCAGCCCCTCTTCATTCACACTGCCAGGCTGGTCTATTTTAGGGAATGATAAAGGAGTTAACATAGAAGAGCTGTGATTATATCTCCTCGAACGTGTGCCCTTCTGTACTCAACTGATTCCTGTTTCCACCTACCCAGAGCAAATAGTATGCCATGCATTTAGAAGGCTTATTTTAAGTTAGAAATATTCTAGAAAACATTCTGAAAGCACTAGCCTAGTTAACTGGACTATGAACAAGCCAGTTCAACACTCTGAACTCTACAGTTCAGCAATATAAAGTTTGGATTTCTGCTTTCCTGTTAGGGTCAACAGTTCACACTCTGAAATGATGAAGGCTGAAGGTCAGAGGGGACTGAGCACTACCTGTACTGTCTGCCTAACACAACTCACCCCTAGAACCAAAATCGACTCCAAATTATTCTTTCTGAACCACCCTTAGGAAACATCTTGCTGTTTTCTCCTAGAAGACCTTTAAAAACTGGCTGAGCTTCAGGGTTTATAAAGGCCAAGGTATGCTTTGCTATTTGGGGGATGGATTCCAGCCATGAGAAAATGATGTAAGATTTCATTCTGGCCGAAACGGTGGGAATCTGGCTAGATATTAGTTTATTTCTAATATGAAATGTAACCACATTTGTTCAGGTATGTTTACCCATAAACTATCTAAAACTAATGTCAGCATGAAGGGCACCTGGCCAGACCCATTTACTTCAAATAGGTTTGAGTGGCCTTTGGTCAATTCAAACTTAAGGTCAGGCTGCCTCGCATGTGTGAGCTGCGGTGATAATATTTGACTGCATGACTTTATTATACCTAGAGCAATTAATCTGTTATTGTTCCAGGGCTCAAGAGCGCACACAGAGTAGAAACAAAGCCATAACCAAAATGTTGATCTAATGGATCTGTCCTTCACCTGGGGGCAGGGGAGAATTCAAGGATTTAGGGTTCTGTGACATGCAGAGAAAGTTAAGTAAGCTTGGGAATAAAACAACCATGTTCATGGGCAGGCGGCATGTGCTACTAAAAAAAGAACAGGAGCATTGGAGACAAAGACATCTCAGTTTGAATCCTGCCTCTACAATTGACATGTGACCTCGAGGGTGTTATTAACCTCTCTGATCCTCAGTTTATTCCTCTGTGAAATACAGTAATAAAAATAATAAAACCCACCCCATAGGACTTTTGTAAGATTTAAGCAATATTACACCATGAAAACTGACACACAGTAAATATTTAATAGCTCCCACCTACCCTTCTCTCTCCACTCCCTCATTTTCTCTTTAAAGGCCTCATTAGTTTCATTACCTTTTTTTTTTTTTTTTCAGAACACTAAACAATGCTGCTAAAATCTCAACTGGGGAGTTTTTTTATCTGCAGAGGGAATTTTACTGCTTGGGGCTCACTGGATCACAAAGCAGACGCATGGGTACAACAACACAGACAGCATTGGTCTCTCGGGGGATGATGACACTCCACAGAAAAATATCTGCAGAGGGAATTTTACTGTTTGGGGCTCACTGGATCACAAAGCAGACCCATGGGTACAACAACACAGACAGCATTGGTCTCTCGGGGGATGATGACACTCCACAGAAAAATCAGGCTTTAAAGTTGTTTTACTGAACTGGAAAAGTAGAGCCAAGCCTTTTCCTGAATGTCGCTGGAATCTGTGACCAAATCCCTAGTTCCATATCTGCTGCAGTCCAGGCTTGACAAAAAAGGCCAAATGAGGGTTTGATATCAGCTCTACCTAAATCCAGAATTTTAATTAAAATCAGTTTCCTTTTGGGAGTGACTGTGGGGAGACCTGATTCCCGGCCACACTGCACCATCACATCTATTTTATCCTAAAATTGCGCAGTGTCTCACGGACCTCCTATCTTCGCATTTCTTCTGGGTTATCTACCCAGGCAGCTCAAGTTTCCCCACTTGGTTAGATGAAGGTATAACTTTGGTTTGGGAAGGAACAAACAGCAGAATCAGAAAGGGATTCTTAACTTCACCGACTGGGAGACTTTTCCTTCACATCTGCCCCTCATCACTCCTGCTGCCTTGGAGCAGGCTCTGTCGTCTCATTATTCCAGCAATGTCCTAAGTGGTCTCACCCTGCCTTCTGCATAACCCCCCTTCAACCTCTCCTGCACTCAGCCGCCTTTCTGATCTTTCTGAAATACACAGTGATGATGTTATTCCTCTGCTTACTCTCTCCACTGGCTTCCCAGGATCAAGGCCAGACCCCTTAGCAGGACCCTCAAGCTGCCCAGTCTTCTGTGAAGTTCCTTGAATATAACCAGTTCTTTGACCCACAGACCTCCTCCTCCCAGTGCAATAGGGTGCTCAGTGATCCATCTTAAAAGTCCAGAAAATGTAAAGTTACCTGCCCAAAGTATCTGCGCCTGGAAACAAAGCAATTTATCTGATACCCTTGAGGAAAATTGAGATTCCCATTCACTGGGGTTAGGTATAGGGAGTCCTCTGGGGAAAAGCCCTGGAGCCAGGAGCTGGAAGCTTGTGGATATTCCACATACCTATGAGGTGTAGGATGCCATCCAATGCATTGAGTGTGTCTTGGATGTTAACTCCAGCATTCTTGGCCCTGGTATCTACGCTCTGGGCTTCTGTAATTACCTGAAGAAAAAGAGGTACAAATGAGTCTTGAAAGGGCATTACTGGCAAATGTAACGGGATCTCCCATGAAAAGCAACAGGAACTCACCATCTGCACTGCGTCCGTGTCCATGTCAAACTCCAGCTCCTTCCTTGCCAGCTCCCCTTCCACTTCTCTCATCTCACTCTTCAGAGTGGCCAGTCCCTTTTCCATGGCCAAGGCTCCATCTGCTGTCGCATTGGCTTCCAAGTTCTGACTCCCTATCTCCTGGGAGAAGAAAAGGAGCCAGGGACGGAAAGAGAGAGAGGAGTGAGGCACAAAAACATCGCAGAGACAACTGTAGAAAAAATACAGCTGTGGCCAGGCCCTCACGGGATTAGTTAGATGAACAATGAGAGAGTCAGACTCGGGGACACACCCTTCCCCAAGCTCTGCCTCAAACAAGTTAATTTTGGAGTATTTCTCTAGGGACTAGGAGGGTCTGCACTGAGACACTGCTTCCCTTTCAGTCCAATGCTCACCAAATGTCGAAAACAATTAGGAACCATTTGGGAAAACCCCAGGACAAGAAACTCACACACCATTCTGTCATGCTCCTTTGCTGCCATGGTGGTTTTTTTTTTTTTTTTTTTTTTGGACTGGTAAGGGGATCGCAACCCTTGTAGCGCCACTGCGCTCCCAAGCGGCGCACTCTCCAGTGTGCCACCAGGCCGGCCCTGCCATGGTGTTTTGAATAACTTTACTAGAATCCCCGAGACAGCTGAGTTTGAAGTGCTGAGAATGAATGGGAGACAGCATTGAGTTTTTGTTTTTGTACGAACAAAGCTTATCAATATCTTTATTAACAAGCTATTATTAGGTATCAAATTGCAGGTGTCTTTATGATAGAAGCAAAAAGAGAGGCATGTGAAATTGGTCTCTACCCTCAAAGAACTTAAAATTAGAAATTATTTTTGCAAGTTAGCAAGTAGCCTAAAAGTGAGGCCAAATAGTCCAGATACCAAGAGTTCCCTCTGGGATTTCTAGAAGTCATGCTCAAGTAAGAGCTAAGAAGCTCTCTTCCAGCTGAGAAGCATTCCTTCTACTGTGGCATTTACATATGGGTTGTAAGTGTAGCTTGTCTGTCTCCCCGCATTACACTGAAGGTTCTTTGAAGAGTGGGGCAAGGTCTCTCTTATCTCCATAACCTCCAGTCCCAAGCACAGTGCTAGCACATAGTAGAAGGAAAGAAAAAAACAAATAAGTGGAGCTTAGACAGAGGTCAGAGACTGGGACGAAGAATCTAGAACTCCAGAATTTCACAATCTGGAATCAAAACATTGATGATAGTTGTTACAGTTGAATTGTATTTTCCTAAAAGATATCTTGAAGTCCCCACCCCAGTAACTTAGAATGTGGCCTTATTTGGACATAGGATTGTTGCAGATAAAATTAGCTATGATGAGGTCATATTGGAGTATGGTGGACCCTTAGTCCAATATGTCTGGTGTCCCTGTAAGAAAAGACAGAGACACTCAGGGACAAGAACATCATGTGACGACACAGGTAGAGATTGGAATGTTGGAGCTGCAACATTGGTGGTGCCCATCACCACCAAAAGCTAGGGAGAGGCAAGGAACAATTCTACCCAGAGTCTCAGAGGGAGCGTGGCCTGGCTGGCACCTTCATTTTGGACTTCTAGCCTCCAGAACTGTGAGAGAATACATTTCTGTTG